TTTAGTCGAAATTCATGTCCAAATCTTACCCCAAGATTCGTATATAGACATGGGTCAAAATTTACCACCCCCATAACTCGGTCAAATCTCATCCGAATTTCACGAAGTTTGGATTTTTCCGTATGGTTTTCCCTCTAGATTAATCTGGCATTCAAATCTGAACACCGATTTTTTAGTCGAAATTCATGTCCAAATCTTACCCCAAGATTCGTATATAGACATGGGTCAAAATTTACCACCCCCATAACTCGGTCAAATCTCATCCGATTTTCACGAAGTTTGGATTTTTCTTTATGGTTTTCCCTCTAGATTAATCTGGCATTCAAATCTGAACACCGATTTTTTTGTCGAAATTCATGTCCAAATCTTACCCCAAGATTCGTATATAGACATGGGTCAAAATTTACCACCCCCATAACTCGGTCAAATCTCATCCGAATTTCACGAAGTTTGGATTTTTCCTTATGGTTTTCCCTCTAGATTAATCTGGCATTCAAATCTGAACACCGATTTTTTAGTCGAAATTCATGTCCAAATCTTACCCCAAGATTCGTATATAGACATGGGTCAAAATTTACCACCCCCATAACTCGGTCAAATCTCATCCGATTTTCACGAAGTTTGGTTTTTTCTTCATTGTTTTCCCTCTAGATTAATCTGGCATTCAAATCTGAACACCGATTTTTTAGTCGAAATTCATGTCCAAATCTTACCCCAAGATTCGTATATAGACATGGGTCAAAATTTACCACCCCCATAACTCGGTCAAATCTCATCCGAATTTCACGAAGTTTGGATTTTTCCGTATGGTTTTCCCTCTAGATTAATCTGGCATTCAAATCTGAACACCGATTTTTTAGTCGAAATTCATGTCCAAATCTTACCCCAAGATTCGTATATAGACATGGGTCAAAATTTACCACCCCCATAACTCGGTCAAATCTCATCCGATTTTCACGAAGTTTGGTTTTTTCTTCATTGTTTTCCCTCTAGATTAATCTGGCATTCAAATCTGAACACCGATTTTTTAGTCGAAATTCATGTTCAAATCTTACCCCAAGATTCGTATATAGACATGGGTCAAAATTTACCACCCCCATAACTCGGTCAAATCTCATCCGAATTTCACGAAGTTTGGATTTTTCCTTATGGTTTTCCCTCTAGATTAATCTGGCATTCAAATCTGAACACCGATTTTTTTGTCGAAATTCATGTCCAAATCTTACCCCAAGATTCGTATATAGACATGGGTCAAAATTTACCACCCCCATAACTCGGTCAAATCTCATCCGAATTTCACGAAGTTTGGATTTTTCCTTATGGTTTTCCCTCTAGATTAATCTGGCATTCAAATCTGAACACCGATTTTTTAGTCGAAATTCATGTCCAAATCTTACCCCAAGATTCGTATATAGACATGGGTCAAAATTTACCACCCCCATAACTCGGTCAAATCTCATCCGATTTTCACGAAGTTTGGATTTTTCTTCATGGTTTTCCCTCTAGATTAATCTGGCATTCAAATCTGAACACCGATTTTTTAGTCGAAATTCATGTCCAAATCTTACCCCAAGATTCGTATATAGACATGGGTCAAAATTTACCACCCCCATAACTCGGTCAAATCTCATCCGATTTTCACGAAGTTTGGTTTTTTCTTCATTGTTTTCCCTCTAGATTAATCTGGCATTCAAATCTGAACACCGATTTTTTAGTCGAAATTCATGTCCAAATCTTACCCCAAGATTCGTATATAGACATGGGTCAAAATTTACCACCCCCATAACTCGGTCAAATCTCATCCGAATTTCACGAAGTTTGGATTTTTCCTTATGGTTTTCCCTCTAGATTAATCTGGCATTCAAATCTGAACACCGATTTTTTAGTCGAAATTCATGTCCAAATCTTACCCCAAGATTCGTATATAGACATGGGTCAAAATTTACCACCCCCATAACTCGGTCAAATCTCATCCGATTTTCACGAAGTTTGGATTTTTCTTTATGGTTTTCCCTCTAGATTAATCTGGCATTCAAATCTGAACACCGATTTTTTTGTCGAAATTCATGTCCAAATCTTACCCCAAGATTCGTATATAGACATGGGTCAAAATTTACCACCCCCATAACTCGGTCAAATCTCATCCGAATTTCACGAAGTTTGGATTTTTCCTTATGGTTTTCCCTCTAGATTAATCTGGCATTCAAATCTGAACACCGATTTTTTAGTCGAAATTCATGTCCAAATCTTACCCCAAGATTCGTATATAGACATGGGTCAAAATTTACCACCCCCATAACTCGGTCAAATCTCATCCGATTTTCACGAAGTTTGGTTTTTTCTTCATTGTTTTCCCTCTAGATTAATCTGGCATTCAAATCTGAACACCGATTTTTTAGTCGAAATTCATGTCCAAATCTTACCTCAAGATTCGTATATAGACATGGGTCAAAATTTACCACCCCCATAACTCGGTCAAATCTCATCCGAATTTCACGAAGTTTGGATTTTTCCGTATGGTTTTCCCTCTAGATTAATCTGGCATTCAAATCTGAACACCGATTTTTTAGTCGAAATTCATGTCCAAATCTTACCCCAAGATTCGTATATAGACATGGGTCAAAATTTACCACCCCCATAACTCGGTCAAATCTCATCCGATTTTCACGAAGTTTGGATTTTTCTTTATGGTTTTCCCTCTAGATTAATCTGGCATTCAAATCTGAACACCGATTTTTTTGTCGAAATTCATGTCCAAATCTTACCCCAAGATTCGTATATAGACATGGGTCAAAATTTACCACCCCCATAACTCGGTCAAATCTCATCCGAATTTCACGAAGTTTGGATTTTTCCTTATGGTTTTCCCTCTAGATTAATCTGGCATTCAAATCTGAACACCGATTTTTTAGTCGAAATTCATGTCCAAATCTTACCCCAAGATTCGTATATAGACATGGGTCAAAATTTACCACCCCCATAACTCGGTCAAATCTCATCCGATTTTCACGAAGTTTGGATTTTTCTTCATGGTTTTCCCTCTAGATTAATCTGGCATTCAAATCTGAACACCGATTTTTTAGTCGAAATTCATGTCCAAATCTTACCCCAAGATTCGTATATAGACATGGGTCAAAATTTACCACCCCCATAACTCGGTCAAATCTCATCCGAATTTCACGAAGTTTGGATTTTTCCTTATGGTTTTCCCTCTAGATTAATCTGGCATTCAAATCTGAACACCGATTTTTTAGTCGAAATTCATGTCCAAATCTTACCCCAAGATTCGTATATAGACATGGGTCAAAATTTACCACCCCCATAACTCGGTCAAATCTCATCCGATTTTCACGAAGTTTGGTTTTTTCTTCATTGTTTTCCCTCTGGATTAATCTGGCATTCAAATCTGAACACCGATTTTTTAGTCGAAATTCATGTCCAAATCTTACCCCAAGATTCGTATATAGACATGGGTCAAAATTTACCACCCCCATAACTCGGTCAAATCTCATCCGAATTTCACGAAGTTTGGATTTTTCCTTATGGTTTTCCCTCTAGATTAATCTGGCATTCAAATCTGAACACCGATTTTTTAGTCGAAATTCATGTCCAAATCTTACCCCAAGATTCGTATATAGACATGGGTCAAAATTTACCACCCCCATAACTCGGTCAAATCTCATCCGATTTTCACGAAGTTTGGATTTTTCTTTATGGTTTTCCCTCTAGATTAATCTGGCATTCAAATCTGAACACCGATTTTTTTGTCGAAATTCATGTCCAAATCTTACCCCAAGATTCGTATATAGACATGGGTCAAAATTTACCACCCCCATAACTCGGTCAAATCTCATCCGAATTTCACGAAGTTTGGATTTTTCCTTATGGTTTTCCCTCTAGATTAATCTGGCATTCAAATCTGAACACCGATTTTTTAGTCGAAATTCATGTCCAAATCTTACCCCAAGATTCGTATATAGACATGGGTCAAAATTTACCACCCCCATAACTCGGTCAAATCTCATCCGATTTTCACGAAGTTTGGTTTTTTCTTCATTGTTTTCCCTCTAGATTAATCTGGCATTCAAATCTGAACACCGATTTTTTAGTCGAAATTCATGTCCAAATCTTACCTCAAGATTCGTATATAGACATGGGTCAAAATTTACCACCCCCATAACTCGGTCAAATCTCATCCGAATTTCACGAAGTTTGGATTTTTCCGTATGGTTTTCCCTCTAGATTAATCTGGCATTCAAATCTGAACACCGATTTTTTAGTCGAAATTCATGTCCAAATCTTACCCCAAGATTCGTATATAGACATGGGTCAAAATTTACCACCCCCATAACTCGGTCAAATCTCATCCGATTTTCACGAAGTTTGGATTTTTCTTTATGGTTTTCCCTCTAGATTAATCTGGCATTCAAATCTGAACACCGATTTTTTTTGTCGAAATTCATGTCCAAATCTTACCCCAAGATTCGTATATAGACATGGGTCAAAATTTACCACCCCCATAACTCGGTCAAATCTCATCCGAATTTCACGAAGTTTGGATTTTTCCTTATGGTTTTCCCTCTAGATTAATCTGGCATTCAAATCTGAACACCGATTTTTTAGTCGAAATTCATGTCCAAATCTTACCCCAAGATTCGTATATAGACATGGGTCAAAATTTACCACCCCCATAACCTTATTAAAGTCGAATCTCATCCGATTTTAATAAGGTTTGGTTTCAATTTCAATACAGTCAATCTCTCCGTCTATCCATGTGTATGAACACGTCGATCTATTGGAGCTAAGTAGTTCGAAGAGAAGGAAGGAAACAGTATTTCATATGTTCGTATATGGATCTATAGTATATAATAGTTCAATTGTTGACATCCTTTTAGTTAACGATAAATAATAGATTAGTAATTTTTCTCAATTATGCTATTATGCTAACAAAAGACTATACTTTCTTCTTTTTATTGAGCGCTTTTCATTTTTAATTTCAGATTTATATCCGGGGTGATATCAACATCAACCATGACAAGAGGTGATAGCACACCACTCCACACTTTTTGGCTGCCATTATGTTATTTATTTATTTTTAAAATGTAAAAAACAACAAGCTTGTACAGTGTATGTTGTTAAAGATAAGTTCGAGAAAGCGGTTATTGTTTTAGCCTAAATTAACAATAAGAGTATAATTTTAGCTCAAAGAAAAGCCCTGTCACTGTATATTTTTGTAGCCTTACCTAAAAATAAAAGCTAAATTAAATAGTACTGTTTGCAAGATGTACAAGTAAGCTACAGAGTGTTGTTCCACTTCAAATTCGATTACGTGTTCTTGTTGCTTTGGCCTGTGACTGAAAAATTCATCAATATAGAGAACTCTCTACACACGCGATAACGATTTAATTTCGTTAAGGTGTTGAATCACCGAGTTTTATGAATTTTCTAAACAGATTATAGCAGGCGTCTTAACTGTGGGTTGACATATCTATTACTAATATTATTTTTATTAATATTTTATAATTAGTCGCAAACTCAATTAATTGAGATTGCGCGAGAAATGATTGGAAAACTTAATGTATTTCTTTTAATTATTTTTACAAGGCAATCGTTTACAAGCTGAGACTGAAAAGTCCACTTTTAAAGCTTGTAAATTTTGATAAATTGCTCGAAGAAAATTATCTTAAGGTTAAATATTTCGAATGGGATATACATCACTATCAAGAAGAAATCGTAGGAACCTATCGGTTAATAATTGACTTCTTTTTTGGAAAATATTTTTTTGTTTTAAAAACATCTTGAATTTACATGCAAAAATTGTTTGGTTTTTATACCCTGATCCCTGGGAAATTGGGTAGTAAATTCAGCGTCATCAGCTAAGTTGATCTAACGCGTCGTTATCAGCGAGAGATTTAAAGTTTTGTCCTCCTACTGCCCGCGCCGTACAAGTTTCCAACAATCGACAAGTTGTCTCGTTTTCAGGCAAGTCTGGGAAATATTATATAGCTCCAATAGGAACCTTGCGTTCGAAATTAAATATATGTACGAAACACAGTTGGCTAAGTATTGATTTCTGGCATAACTGCTCTATATTTATAATTTGTATTTGTCACTACAATATGAACAGTTTTTATTACCATGTTCGTGTATGTTTTTAGTAAATATTTTTATGTCATTTGTTGTGTCTGTTGCTCTTATAATTCAATCTATGCTCAAAAAATCGAGGCTGATAATCGAGTTACATTGGTTTGTGCAACGATTTGAAACAATTATGAGTCCCAGTAAAGGAAAAAGGATTTCTAAGAAAGTGAATTATAGTTTTCCACGATTTGCATTTTTTCCTTATTTGTGTTTTTGCACTTGAAGCACTTATATAAAACTGTTTGTCCACTAACTGAATGACTGACTGAGTGATTGGTGATCAACGTACAGCCCAAATCGTAAGAGCTATGAAGCTGCAATTTTTACACTCGTTACCTTATTTGGTGAAGGTTCATGTTAAAACTGGGTTTTTGGAAATTCTACTCGCAAGTATGCTTTTGTTTTACCATCCGCCTCAAACTCATTTTCAAAGATATTTGTTCGAATTCATTTGAGGGATGTTTCACACGTTTCAGAAAATTTGTATAAATGGGCGTCATCACTTCCAAAAATCTTTACGAAAAATCATTTGCGACATTTTTCACACTTTTTGCAGAATCCAAGCAACCTCGGTGAAAATGTGATTCAAAGATTTTTTTGGTGGTGTATTAAGTTTTATCCGATTTGCTTTAAACTTATTTTCTAATGCCTACATAAGAACTTAATAAAGGCATTTGATTCTTTATTCTACTGGAGATCAATATGCTACTGGTGGGTTTTAATATTCTACCGCAGTGTACTTGATAGAAAGGTAATATCTAAAATTTGTAGCACCAAACTTTCCACGGGCAAGGCCGGACAATATCCGATAGTAAGGAATATATGCATATAATAAATATGTGCATGACTTTAATCTTTAATACAAATGAAAACGAAACTCTTTTTAAGTAAATTCTGTTAATGCAGAAACGCCTCTTTGCTCTTATTTCATAGAGCAAAACGCATTTTCTGCGAAATATTTTAGACGTGGATTTGCCCATTGGCAAATTCAAATTATTGTTATTATTACAGTATTAATCACTTTATCGATATTATATCTTTGATTAATTATTTTCTAGCAAATGTCTAAGTAATGCATACGTTTATTATTATATTGCAGGTGAATCAACATACCTTTAAATAAATTGTATTTTGGACCTTCTTTTCTCGGAGATCTACAGATATTTTAATAATAGCTGCTAACATTTGTTTTTATAAATGTATCTGAATTTGTAAATATATATTTAGATTTAAAATAGAATTATTATTATAAATTAAATTTCTTTTTGGATTTGTACTTTACGACATTAAGCAAGGAAAAAAATAAAATTCGTCTTAGTTTGTTATACAAATGAGCAAATTGATACAAGTACATTTTATTGCATTATATTTTATTCATATTTAAATTTTGAATTTAAATCGATGGCTGCTGATCCCGCCGAAAGACCGGACGCCTACAAAGTATCTACATTGCGCAATGTGCAAAGATATTTTAGCTTTATTGTCCGCAGATATACCTCAAACTAAGTTGCCTATCATTACCCAAAATAGCAAAATCACACAGATCTACCTTTTAGAAGCAAATTTGTATATGCAAGAAGTTCACAATCTTTCCGGTTGCCCACAACACCTCCACCCTGCACCACCCCGAAAAAATTATGTTGTAATTCGAGGACCAAGTATTGGTCCTGACGAATTGTACGCAACAACTTTATGGTCGCAGCGACTGCAGCGCTCTGCAGTTTAGTTTAAGCTTTTGCTTTTTTGTATTTTTAGTCTTAATTCAAAACCGAAAAATCGAATTAAAAACTCACCTGCTTTGCGCCGATTGATCAGCCAACACTTTACCTCAATAGTCAAATTGTTACATGTATACAGAAATTCGTGCAGTTTGCGCTAGCCACGAGTTGAAATAAACCACTTGAGCGCATTTAAGAATGAGGCCGTAGACAGATCCTTAAACAGCTCCAGGTGAACTGCATGAGGTGAATTGACTGGAGTTTTTTTTCGTATGTCTGGTTTGAAGAAAAACGGTTCACAATAGTCAACGTCTGAGACTTCATAAGCTCGATAACCAGTCAAACGTTCTTTAAGAAGATCAGCCAATTTATACTCTTCAAATCGAGGTTTGGCCCGAAAGCATCTCACTCATCACAATCGGCCAATACTGCAACCAAATATGAGCTAGAATGACCCATGGACCAGCGTTAAAGTGAGTTCTGGGCCTCTGCCAAGCAAGAGGTCGGCCAAAATAATTTGTTGCCACAAAGAACTTTTGGGCCATCGAATCAGAGTAACCATTGCCTTATTTAACTTGTTGTCGATCCTTTAGAAGGTATATCTGCCGGATTGAGTGAAAGGGGGACGTATCATAATTTTCGAACTGCTGTAACTCGATTAGCTATAAGTTGCAGGGCTCCGTCTTTATCCATGAAAGACATACAGAGGAATTGAGTTACAGTCGAAGGAGTCGTTCATTAAACGGCAAATTATCCGAGGCTGAATCCCAAAGCGTTTTTGTGATGTCGCTCCCATCATTAAGCTTTAGATAATATTCTCTGTCCTTTCTTGGTATCACTTTCGGAACAGCAGCATTACTTAAGCACCATTTTCGCACGTTTAAAACGTCCATTCGCCAGAATTCCAGCCGTCTGATTGAGAATTTCCTTTACTTCTTAAATCGAATGGCTCTCCGATATGAGGTTGTCTACATAAAAGTCACGCCGCAGAATCGGAGATCCAATTGCGCAGTCGATTTTTGGAAGAAGGATCTGCAACAAACCGCTCTAAATAACAGGACCATTAATAGTTCATTTAATGAATATCCTGACGAGGTAGCTGCCAAGCCGTCGAAAAAGTATCACAATTTTGAACCGCACTCTTTAAAGACACTGTGTTGAGGAAGAAACTATTTTCAAAGTCAGGGATTCTGGAGCAACAGGCGACGTATGACCTAGATCCAAAATATTCCTGCAAAAAGTTGGAATTTTGAGTCTTTAGGTCAAACGAGTTTGTGTCAGAAGCCGACAAAAGGCTTGTTAGTATGACTTCCCAAGAAATTTCAAACTTACCTTGAAGGGTCACGCACCGAATATTTGCCCTTAGGCAATCTGTCATGTCCTTATAAACGCTCTTAACAATCATTTTCTTCCCAATCTGCCAAAATCGTCGCATCAATTCATCTGCACGTTCTTCAGAGCGCTGCTCATTGATGCTTCGCAATCCATGTGGATCCACCCACAACCATCCGCCTCCTGTAACTACCCAACCAAGCCTTCTCTTCTGGGCACATGGTAGCCCTAGAAGAAGCTTTATCTGGCCGACACAGAGAAGCTCAAAAAAGACTACCGCTAGGTAGCAAGCTCACGCGTTATGGCTTGAAGAAAGTAGAATCTGCAAGTCATACGTTATCGGGAACTTGTGCTGTGCAACGAGCGACGGCTTAAAGATAGAGCCGTGGGCAATTGATGATGAATAAGCAGTTGCAGTCAAGTGGCTCGAAGTCAGAATTATTTAAATGCAGCAGGGAATGATGTGTCTCTCCGCAAGTCCGACATCATCCAGAGCTGCATGGTCGCAAATGACGTTCCTTTACAGCTTCCATAAGCCGTAATTAAGGGGTATAGCTCCAAAACCAGAACAATTATACATAAATCTCATGACCAGGGCTGTTTCGGCTGCGTAATCAGATCAGAGTCATCGGTATTCATAATACCCAACAAGGATAACGGCCAAGTCGAATAAAATCTTATAGAGACCTACATTAATTTAATTTCTTTTCGGTGTAAAAAACGTACAATATAATAAAATATTTTTAATATTATGTTAATTAAGTTAATTAATGGGTTTGTTCAAGTCCTTGCGTTCTGTACAGTGTAAAAGAGTCATACACATGCTCGAGCTCTGACAATCGGTATTCCTCCAAACAGACAATACCTTGCAGCGATGGTGATAGCTTCAATACACAAGGTAGACAATGGACCACATGCCTTTTCTCTTGCTCTCTTATGAACAACACGTTAAAAACTTCGACCTGCAAATAATAATAAAAGCCAATGGATTAATTATGCAAAACAACATTAATTAAATATGTATATAATTAATTTAAAATACATAACTTTGTATCGTAACAATGAACAATGGTACAAGCGTAAAATATTTATTACTTGTTCATTACTTTAAGACAATAACCAAAACTGATTCTAAAAACTTTATTATGAAATGTACATATTTGCAATTTTTGGGGGATTGGCGTGGGCGTTGCTCGATGGGCTGAGTACCGATTTAACCCATTTAAGAACTTTCGATCCACTACTACACAATTATAATGTGGATGTCCGTTTCTGTGCGTATTCTACACACCTATATAAAATATAATACAAATCTAAACTATACGCCCTGGTTCTAAAAATTAAAACAAGGCTAAGGCTAAACAAAGTGACAGGGTTACTACCCAAAGGAAGTCTGTTCTTTTGAACTCTTTCTTATATGCCCAAATTGCAGTCTATTGGCATTACGAGCCCATTAGGTAGCAAAAGTATATTGATAATTATTTATTTGATTATTAGATAATATCCTATTATATATAAAAGCAATTAAGCAACTTACTTCACATTGTCCACAATAGTGGGAAGCCTCGTTCTTACCACGGCCATTAAACCGAATTTCGACTCCTTTGGACTTTACATATTCTTGTATATGAAACACAGTTTTTAAAGATTGACACAAGCACATTCTAAAACGAAATAGGTACATATTTAAAAAAAAATATATCTATATATAAAACTGAATGTATATAGAGATTAAATCAAACTTTATATAAACAATTGTGTATTTATTTTAATTGTTGTCTACTTACTTTATTAATTCAAAAAGTTTCGTATCAGAAACTTTTATATTTCTCGCTAGGTTCCAACTTAAATGGACCATGGGAACAATACTTTTAAAACTTTGAAGCTTGTTCCATTCATAACGTTCTATGGCAAGAGAATACTGTCGTGCAGTAAGTGGTCCAACATTCCATGCTATATTATTGCACCATCCTACAGACTGTACCCAATGAACACATCTGAAATAATAAGTTAATGCAAATTTTAGTTAAGAGTGCCCGACTTGGAGATACCAGATCGCAGGGAGATTATATTAATGACCAGGAAGACGAGCTGAGTCGATCTATCCGTGTTCGTCCGTTTATCTATCTGTTTGAGGACACTATTAAGATTATATTCGCGTATGCAGTAAAAAGCACAGAGACTGTTTTAATTGAGAAACTTGCGAGTCCAAGCTTGTTTGTGTATGTCTTATCATACATCCGCATCCTTGAGAGGCACTCCTATCTAGAATATTATTCATCTTTCTATAAGATATTGAACGCTGATGCGAAAAAGGGGTAATCAATGGTTAACTTGAATTTAGATATGTGTTCCATTTGCTAAGCTAGTTTTTTCAAATCGATATTTATCGATTTCGAGTTATGAAGGTAACTTATCGAAACATGAAGATATAAAATGTAAGGGGGCTTCTCACTCGTGCTACATGAATTTGGATGAAACTTTTAGAACCTTTTTTGAAGTTTTCAATATTTAAAGGGTTTTAAATAAATGTAACGTAACTTACCCAGCATTTACCCAAACTAAGTCTCCAGGTTTCTGTATGAACCGATATACTGGTATATTTTCTTTATATAAGTCTTCTAAAACAGGCCACCACGATCCATGTAAGTAGCTGATATTGTTTTTCTCACACAGATTATGAATTCCACCCCAATAAGCATCTGGGACAGCGAACCATTCACAATCTCCTGGTCCTATGTTAATATTAATTGAGCAAAAGTTGTTATTTTCTTGATGCCCAGGCGTTCTACTCCCAGGAACTTTCATATATAATTGCACAGTATTCATTCCCAAAATGACGTGGCCTACGTGGGACAACATGTTTGCAGCCGAAATTACTCTCGCAAAGGCAGGCAATTTTTGTAATTCACTTAATTGAGGCTTCCATTTTCGCTCATCCGATAAATCAACATTGGTTCCAAACCTATACAAAAAAAAAAAAAAGATAAAGAATAAGAAAGTTAAAGAATGATTAATTTAATTAATTTTTAATGCACAAATATTTATATACCTTAGCATTTTGCTTCCGTTTTTTGCCTTTTTACGTTTTAAATTAATATTCGAATTAGATACTGAATCCTTAGAATCGGAATCTGACATCACTTGGGAGCCTGCTGAACCTTTATCGCCTTCATCCTTAATTCAAATATGTTATAATTTTAGCATGATTTTCATTTAAATATATTGTTTTATTTATTACCTTTAGACTGTCTTGAAAGCTTGATGCTTGATATTGAGCATATTTGGCAATAGTTGTATGAGATCGATGTGATATACAGGCCCAAACTCTCTTCGCTTGAGATACGTCCCAATTTTCATCAGGAGACTGATTCACTTGAGTTCTGACTTCTACGCTGTGATCTGGATTGGCCTCAACAAGAGTTTTAGTTGAAAAGAGTCCCAAATCTAGCTTCAGAGCACCAGCCAAACCCCGTACAACGGCAATTGGATGCTTTAAGCAAAATTCTTGCAATTGTGGGCTAAAAGCATTCTTTTTATTTTCCAAGTGAACCGATGGAGTGGGTGGTAAGAGCTGCTCCCTTGTAAGCTTCTGTGGTGGGCAATCTGGTGGCGCAGGCGGAGGTGCATTCCTCAAGAGTACTGTAAAATTTGTTGGTGGCTCATGAAACGATAAATTCTGTACAGCAGACCACAGTTGTTTAGACTCCATTTGTATGTTGAATGTAGGTGATGAATCAGCATCAGCATCAATATCAAATTCAACTTTTGTCTTTTGTTTAAACATATTGTGGCTGTCGTCATTGCTTTGCGTTGAACCCTCATATTTAACGGGCTTCTTATCATCATCAGCCGCACTTTGGTAAATGTCTTCGACTAATTCCGTCGAAATATACTGAGGTCGTTCATTAATCGACTGACCATTTACGTCTGCGGAATATCAGATCGAAAATATACATTTAAAAAGGCTACATAATCAATCAATACTCTTAGTTATTGTTGCCGATAAAGTTATTTTACTAATACAAATAAATGTACTTTTGTTTGACAAATAAATTTTAGTGATCAACATAGGTTTAAGAAAAAACATACCTAATGAAACCTTATCATTCGAAGAAAAAATGCCTTCTAAATCAACAGATTCCTCCTTTATGGTTTTCGATGATATTGCTTCAGAACAATATGTATTTGTTCCTTCTGGCATAACTGATGTTACATATGGAGATGTGCTGTTCCTCAAGGGTTGGCGATTTGGCGCGGGTAACTGACGTTCTTGCTGCATACTAAAACTTTTTTGATTCTGTTTTACATTGTGTAGAGTACTAATTTCATTTTGACATAGATTGTGCATTTGCTGCTCCGATCGATTCATTACGGACAGGTCGGAATCGTCCTTTGCTCGTTTTGCTGGTGTTGGGTTGCTTTGAGTTCCGTGGTTGTGTGGGTACGGTGGCGGCGGTCCCTAAATATAAAAACAGTTCGTAAGAAAGTGAATTATATTTATTATCAAATAACTAATCACGCTGGTTAAATTTATGTATTTAATGGACAATGTAAGTATACTAAAGTTTATTTGCAATTTCATGCATAGCAGTAACTTTACAAAGTAATTTCTTACGTTCGTCGAGAGAGAAAATTTTGGAAATTGTCCTAGCTGATGAATATCCTAGAGGGAGCTCTAGGTTGAACAAAGGCGATTAACCTGGCGCTCTTACGGACGGACAGAGAACAAAACCAATGTAAGCTTTACGAACTTAAAAGATCAACATCATTATTTGAACCAACTTTTATATGCTTTTAAGACTATTTACATAATATAAGAACTTAAAGGTATGTAAAATCGTAAATTGTGAAGGTTACCTGTAAAGATGAGTTTTTTCCATACTGTCTTTGCTGCATTTGAAGATTTTGCTGTTGTTGACGGGAGTTAATTTCTAATGATATTGGAAGGTTCCAAGCCTCTTCAATTGAACACAGCTGGCGGCGTTTAGATGTTATACTTGGCAGTGGTGCGTGGCTCAGTTGTGTTTCAAGAAATTTTACTCGTTGGATAATGCCCTTAGTTAATCCATTTGTACTGCTTGTAAATAATAAAGCTTTATTTCCTTCTTGGGTAGTGGTTATTTTCTATAAAAATATAATTGACATCCATTCGGTTTGTTTTGTTTTTTTTTAATATTTTAATAAAGAAATTGCTCTAGTCGAAGGTGTCCGACTTGAATTGATCTACGCTGAGTAACTGAGGTACTTCTTGCCTAAGTTCAGGGTAAATTAATAGAAGAATAATTGTGGTGTTTATATTATAAAAGTAAGGGGTACAGATATATCATTCCAATGATAAAAGGCCTATGACAATATTTTTGAATATTTTTTTCTGGCAAATTAAGCTAAATGCTTTATAATAGCAAGCCCAAGCAACCACATGCGGATAAGTTTAGCGTGGTCGCTTTTTGATAAATCACTATGATATGAAATCATTCAGTACCAATTTCGACTGACCTCAAAAATCTAATAATTATCCTAGATCATAGTCTGAAGATAAAGGTGCATGCAACACAAGCACTGATGAGCTGGAGAGTGAAGCCGTGAAGCACAAAAGCGAATACAAACTAAGACTGTAGGTTAGTGCTTTTTACTTGCTAAATAAAAAGGAATAGAAGATTTTATACGAGGAGGACTACGAGCAAACAAAAAAAAAAAGTTCAATAAGCCCAGGACTGTTCAGAGCTTCTTGAATCTAGTTTTACGATCCGTACACGTCAAATGCCCTGTTTAAGCCTTTTGTCCGTCCTCTTCTTTGGCTAATTCTTTTATATTCTTTTTATTCGCCAACCGTGAATTAAACTGGGATTCAGATTAACTGGGATTCATATTCTAAAATACTCCTGACTTATACCCTAATACACCTCTTTTAAGGATAGTAGAATTATGTTTTGTGAAACATTTACTAATAAATACGGCAGAAATAAACTACTCAGAATTGTATTGAAGGTGTTAAAAATTAGGATTAAGATATTATTTCGTTAATTATATACCTGTTTTGAAATCTGTTTAACTGCATTTAAATAGCATGCGTATGCATCTCGCAATTGCCCACAACTTTCATAAAGAATACCTAAATTCGTCCATGCCGATCTATGTTCTTTATCTAGTTGAACTGCGCATATGTATGCTTGGAGCGCATCTGTTGGTTGATTTTGCTGCTGATATAAGACACTATACAAAATAATAATTAGTTTTATTTGGCCACTAAAGATAATTGAAAGCTAAAATTACCCGATTGAGCACCAGGTATCCGCATTCCCTTCACTTTTTTCGACCGAGTTCCGGTAGGCTAAGAAAGCATCATGAACCTTATTAACCCCAGCGTAACATCTTCCCAGTAAGTATAATGATTGTCCACACTTTGGATCCGCTTCAATTGATTTTTGTAAAAAACGTAACGCATTAGATTCACGTTCTTTTTTTTCGCCTAGGCATTCGACACAATGATACATCCATCCTGAAAATCATCAAGCAAATATTTATAAAATATTCAAACGTCTAATTTGAGTAAGTTATGTAAATTGAATATTTTATATTTATATCAAAATTTTGGCGAGTGTATAAAATTATATATTTTAGGTAATGGCAATGATGCTGTTTGCTATGATTTGTGGAATGGAAAATATTTTTAATTACTTCTGTTCACTGTCGAAACATTTGCAAATACCAAACTATACCCAAAAGCTAGCTGCTTAGCTACCTGTCGTCTTTCGAAATAAATCTAAGGATGCTAAAGCATTGAATACTCGATTTTCGCTATCTTGCAGTTATTGTCTTTGAAAATATATATTTGAAATACTTCTCGTTCTCACTAAATATCGAAAACGCTTCGGTTCAGAAATAAATTAATGTTCTCCAATGCAATGAGCTGCATTCCAGCTCTCGATTAACGATCGAGGGGCACAGACGTAGTACGTACATCACGAGTCGATAAGTACAAAAACGAATACAAACTAAGACTTTAGACTAAGACTTTCTACTTGTTAAATAGTATAGAATAGATGACATTAGACGAGGAAGAGATAACTCCGAGCAGAATACTCTGTAATGCTTGTGGCAATCACCACAGAGGACTCGGAACGGTTTATGTGAGGCTCATTAAGTTATACATAATTTAAGATATAAAGGTATATAATTACTTGTTAGTAGTATGGATAATTGGCTACTCAATTCAGGAGTCGATTTCCAATGTAATTAACTTAATTAATGAATAAATATTGCAGCAAGCATAATTATACGATTCCAATGTAAGCGATACTTTCATTTGTGCGCTTCTTAACGAAATCTTGACATTCAAAAGAAGCATATACTGCTTAAATGTACCTTATTGCTTGATTACAGGCAAAATTTTAAATATGCCTTTTGATAGACAATACAATTTAGTTGTCCAAAAACTTTTCAAAATATTCTTAATGTTATTTATTATATTCTTACCTAATTGTCTGTATATGTCCGCTTTCAGATCCAACGATACATTTCTGTCATTTAATATAAATTCATATGATTCTTTTGCAGCTTTGTGCTTATTTTGTACTTCATACAGATGAGCTATTTGAAATTTCACTGAAAAATATTTGAATTGATTAAAAATTGTATAAAGAATAAAATTGTTGGTAATTACTACGTAAGTATGTCTTTGAACATAGTCCAGCTATCAAATGTATACATTCCATACCCAAGAATGAATGCAAGTGAGCCAGCAACCTATATATATATTACCCGGCCCTGCCCGTCAGTTTCCATTCAGTTTAAATCTGCCCGTACTATCCTGAACTTCACTTATATTTGACAATATGTGTAAGTCCATATTATACAGAACCATAAATTGGAATGATTTGTTTCCGCCTATGTCAACCATGTGAAGAGCATCTTGAAGGTGAAAATACTTCGTTAAAACCTTATTTGAAAATAAGTTTGAAGCAAATCGGGTAATTTGAGCCAGAAACATCACCCACCAAAAGTTTGAACCCCATTTCCACCAAGAAGGGATAAAAACGTTTTTCTAGAGTTTTCGATACTTTCGGGTGGAATTGCCCAAAACTAAGTCTTAACGTGCGTTGATCAGCAATCAGTCGGTTAGTCAAGACAGGACAGTCAGGAGCGACTCAAGTCTTAAAAAGTAATTTGTACAAATAAAATAGAATAATAGACAATAGGTGACAATCTTCGAAAGGAGCGTTCCAATACGGAACTTGGAATCTTTTAGTCGGAAATAATAATTTCAAGCAACATACCTTGAAGATCCGTAAACGTAGAGGGCGATGAGTCCGCCAATGCCAGTTGCAAGTGTTTAAGTGCACTCCGAAAGTCACCATTAACCTTGAGCATCAGTCCAAGACGTAGATGGACTTCATTTGCACAGGTGAAATGTGGGTTCAAGTATAAAAGTTCTTGAAACAGTTTAATTGACCTAAAAAAAATTCAAGATGTAAGTTCTTTATGAAATGCGTATATTTCAGTAAGATGATTTGTGAATATTTATGGAACAGGCAGAAACATGCCGACATCGAGCTGAAAATTGGAATAGGTTCGTATCTCTTTGGCAGGCGGGAACCAATCTGATCGGAGAACTTAAATATATCCCTGCCACAGGAGCAATTGCTCGAAAGTTCTTGTATAAGAAAACATTTTGATCTACTTGGCCATAAATTATTTTTAATACGATCGTTATATTAATATGAAAACTCCTATCCATATCGCAGGACTATATAATAAAACTTTAATGTATGAAAAACAATTTTCTTTATGAAGGTATTTAGACCAGACTCGACCTTTTATTAGTTTCTATATGCTCCTTACTCATATGTTAAATTCTTGCACAATATAATAAAGCTGCCATAGGAACGCTTGACACCAAATAAAATGTTAGTAAAACATTGTTTTCTTTTCATGGAGGTCGACGTTAACTAATTAGACTACAAATAAGTCAAGTCTTATCAAGAATCGAACCATTTCCAGAATATTTTTAACAAACGTAGCATTTTGGAGCCTCACTATTTTTACATGTCTATAAAAACGTTAGCCCTATGCATACAATTATTCGGTGTTCCTTTGTTTTTTTTTTTATTATAACAAACACAATTAAAAATGGTAAATGAGGAGGCTCTTACTTATAGATATATGTACGTCCGCACTTTATAGATTTGCGTAATTTTGTGTTTTACAAGCAAATGATTCAAAACATAACTTGTACACTTAAGTCTAGCTATGTATGCACAAAAACACACAGTATTTGTGTATGGCTAGTGTTACGCACATACTTTAAAAGAATTTCCAAAAACTAGTTTAGTTGACTCATTGTAAGATGTGTGGTTTTTAATTTGTACTAGTTCGTCGCAGTGTTGAGAATTTATTTGGCAGTGTTTTTATTTATTTAAATTAAAAATAACACGGTCAATACACATTCAAAATTCCATGGTTTTTAATTTACTGACTAGTGGTGGCATGAAAATGTAAAACATATCGATAGCTCCATTCAGCGGCCGTCGATAGTTCTAATGGTCTAATAAGTATGTTTCCACTGGCATTGCGTTTGCATCCACAGATGCCAAGATGTGCATTCAAAACCTATACAAATAACATAGTTAGGTATGCATATATCGATTTCTATTTTACATTCGATAATAAGTCATTGTAACGTGATTGTAAACAAAATTTTAAATACGTTATTTAAATATAAACCAAATTGCGTTCCAAAAACTCATGACATATTTTATTTTAGGAATATATTATAGATTTTGTTTTAATAGGGACAAATGTTTTCCCGTCGGGACATGTGTCGGAGCCGGCCGCAAAGAAGCGATCGATTAAAAACTAAGTTCTATTTTTGTTTTTTAGGCATATTGACCAACCAGCATTATCAACCGATCGATCGAAAGTTCAGCTCTTGTAGGGACAACTTTTTTGGGTTTCAAGGTATCTTGACCAACCTCAGCATTTATAAAATAAACTAAACTACATAAATGACAAGTCGTATCTACATCGTGAACTATATTATATTGCTGTTATATACAAATGCCGGATCCTTATGTTCTTACAATATAGATGCTTGGAAGTGAAAGAAAACGTCAAACACAGTGCCACAATTTTAGTAAAATAGATGTGACGATATTAAAACCAATTTCTGGTTTAGAGAACCAAGGTCACACCCAATAGTGCCCAACCTGTAATGGGCAAAACGGGGCCAGGGACTGCAACGACTTTAACCTTAAAAGGCACCAACTTTGTTTCTCATGTTTACGAAATGGCCACTTGGCAAGGGTCTGCAATAGGGCCAACGAATGCCAACTCAATCGATGACGGAAGAGGCATCACGGTTTTGTCCTTAGTAGCGATAGCAAATTATCGGATCACCGACTATTCGGATTCCAAATGTATCGGTATGAACCGCAGGATTAAATCAGACACTAGAGTAATATAACGGAGTTTTCAAACATAGCGGAGGAAACAAAAAAGTGGTCTGAGTTATTTTCCGAGTCCCTCATGTCAAATCTGTTGATCACATTAGAATGTTATTCTTAAGGTACTCTTTAGAATCGCCAGAGGCTTCGATTTTTAGGTAAAGCACTCAAGGTCGTGACGGGTACGCCAGATTTAAAGAAACTTGGAATTACTGACTCAAATATAATTGAATGATTGAATTGACTTTGTACTAATTAAACCTCCCATTGAAGTCTCCGTTGTAAGTCTGATGAAGACACCTAAAATAAAGGTCTGCCGGTCCGAAAACATTGTACATATACTTATTGAATACCTCAAATTTAATTTTATATATAGTTAGATTAGTACTAATGCGTTAACGACGTCCTAGCAGTCCCCAGCTATGCTACGACTTTCTGCATTTATACACGCCAGCGGTACGGCACTCTATTAAACATAACCCAGCCACTTGTTACCCATCACGCATGTGGATGATGGCTCGAGTCAGAACTATCGAGGGTACACATCTCGTCACTTTTGCATGCTTAGCCGTCATGAACATTACCAAATAAGCGAATTGACGCGAGGTCCTAAACAACATTTTACATAAAGTTATGAGAAATTTTATATATACCTTTCATTAGGAGCTCTGTTGTCCTGCTGTCACTGCTTACAATGCACCGAAAAGTGCTGCGTTAGCTTTGAAACTAGTGTGTGTCATTTATAGATATAAGCCTATAAAAATGTGGATTGATTGTGACGGTATTTAGGCGCTGAGTACAGAAAATGTCAAGTAGCTAGCTTGTTTTGTTGCCGTATCTGTCCGAATTTAATACAAGAACGAAAGGGAAAATTAAACAAAACCGTACACTATAAAATAATTAATTTTGGTAAATGTTATACGATATTCAGTTCGACTACCCAATTCAAAATTTACGCATAATTATTATTTAAATTTTGCGTTATTCAAAGAGACAGTCTTAGGGCGGTTTCAATAATTGATTTAGCAAATTTCACAAACCTAAATGCATGCTGTATGTACAGGCCTCTATTATTTCAGTAATTTTTAAATGTAATGCAGCTAAATATATTTAAATATAGAATAGAATAGTTCAAATAATTACCATTTGAAACAGCGAAATTCAAAATAAACGATTCCTAGTCCGTATATAAAAGCATGGTTATTCCAATATTTTTCACACAATCTCATATACTTTTGATATGCGGATAGAGCTGTAAAGAAAAAGAAAAATATTCGAAAAGTATGAAATATTAATTAATTAAAATATGGAAAACTCAGATGCGACCATTTCCTTCACGGTTAGTTTTTTCGAATGTCATTTAATTGGGAATAATCTACATGAACATTACCCGCAGCCACCTCCATCCAACTCCTTCTCACGTCCCCTTAACTATCTGCACAGCGAGTCACAATTTCTACTCGAGCGTCATAGCAACAACTCGATATTTAAGAAAAAAAAGACTTATTAACCTGCAGCAAGCACTTGTCATGCCAATATATATATAACAGCAATAGTAGATAATATTTTTCTACAGAATATTCTTACATTCTCAAAAAGACAACAGCATCAATCATCACCAGGCAATAAGATATTCTATCAAACAAGGAACTTGATTAAGTTCTCAACGACTCTTTGGTTACGATCGACGATATGGAGAAAAAAGTTGCTTCCTGAAGCATTGGGTCTGCATTATCTCAAACAGCTTGGGCTGTTACAAACGCCAGGAGGTTGTCAGCAAAGCACAGCTTTGTCTGAAATGCTTTCTTCTACCTGTTGCACACATTTGAAGAGGACCCCTTATACCTCTATACCCTTTAACCAATTTTCAATTGGCTCGGAGTATATAAATACGGTTCGGTAAAGAATTAATTAATATATATTTGGGTACCAATTTGCCAGGGCGAATGTTGCTAGCTCAAAACGGTTTTAGTCCCAGCTGAAGAAGAGCTCGCAAAACGTAACAGCATGTCAATATTTTGCCACTCTATGTAGACAATTATATTATTATAGTTTTACAATATTTGATCGATTTGTTGTCTTGCATATAAATATATATGGGACTCACAAATTATCAAAGATTGTTTTCTATTTGGATTATTGTAATTCAAAATATGAATTTATAACTAAATTTGCTAAATACCATAACTGGGTTGCACAACAAGCAAGCCCAAAGGCAAGGCCATGATTTGCGTAGCATTTGTTACGAGACGACTTATAAAAAATTGCAATAGATATTTTGCAAGATGCGTTTAAAGCTAAGTTTACCTTCATAGTATTCAGATCTGAGAAGATGCAGGTGTCCGAGTTTGCAATAAGTGTTTATGTCCACTTCTTCAATTCCTTGGTGGTTTCCTTTTGGCGCAATTTCGTTTGCCAAACCAAATTTGATGTCTTTGTTGTCAGATTCCAGTTGTGCGGAATTTTCCTTTATATGTTCATCTTTAACCAGAATATTACTTTTCGAATTTGCATGTTTCCCATCGCGTTGTTTGACTATATTCGATGAATGGGAGCTGGCTATTTCATCTTGCAAGACTGTAATGGTTTGTTGAATAAGGTCGTTAATTTCAGCATTCCTGGGATCCGACAAATCGAGAAAACCATAATACCGGCTAAAATATATTAATGTTAGAAAATAAACTTAAAAATTGTTATAAAATACTTTACCTATCTAATTCTATAGCCGTAAGGAGATCGTCAGTGGATATTTGAAACATTGTGCATTGTTTGTTGATCGAAGTAATTTTTTTTACTATATTCAAACGTTTGTAAACGAACTCATTCACTTATTGCAAGTTTTATTATGTTTATTCCAACTATTCAGTTCAATCGTTCATGAACTAGAAATTCAGTTCACTTGTTCAGCTGTTTATGAACGAAAAAGATTAGCGGTACTCCCATTCAATTAATTATTATTTTTATATTATACTAGTGTGTAATTTCGACGATTGCCCTTCTTAAGCAATTTAGCATCCCACTATTTCCATTTTAATAATTTTATTTTGTATAAAATTTTGATGGTCTGGATGATAAAATCTTGAAGCCTTGAATTCATTTGTGACATTTTCTATTCCTTATAATTTTTCGTCGTGTGATTTAGACATTATTTTGAAAATTCGGTATAATCTTTTACCTTCTTATGCTCTGAACCCATTAAAAATTGGTAAAAAGGGTCAAATAAAATTGTGCAAATGTCTGTCACGAGCAGAAGGAAGCATTTCCGATCGAAAAAAATTGATATCGAAATCCTGTTTTTTGAGCAAATCTCGTAAGTTATAAGAGGTAGAGCCACCTAATATCGCAAGTAGCTTCTTAAATGGTATATGTATGTTAAATATCTTTTTTCGTGATACTAACCAGGCTTGTGGTCTGTTTGTACATCATATCTGATTACAGGGCGGCGGGCAACCGCGGTTTCCTGTCCTGCAAGAAAAAAGCGGGACTAAAACACGGGACTGAAACACGCCAGAGGAGGACCGACGAAGTTAGTAAGTACTGCATCGGTTCTGCTACCTGTCTCGTTATCATGCGACCGGCCAGCTTGAGTTTTTCGTTCTTTAACTTCTAGCAGACTTCGCACCACTTCACATAATAGGCGGCGTGGTGAAACATACCCGGCCAGTTTGGGCTAATCTTGACACTGTTTTCCTCACGCCTTGGTGACCAGCCGTGAGAGCATCATAACATTCCTGAAAAACCCTCTGCCATTGACCACTGGCCAGACACAGTTTCCAGGGAATGTAGTCCTCTTCGTATCCCAAATGTATATACAATTATCCTATTTCCTCTACATTTCACTTCCCGCGACAGCCATTTGAGTGCCAGGTTATCCGTTATCATGCGTATCCTATCACCAGCTCTTGACCCTCTATCGTGTGCGTCAGCACAGCACAGAGGCCAAATTCACTCACGCCAGTCTGCAAGCCAAATTTGGCGGAAGGGTCTGGCCAACACATGACGGCTGTACTTCAGTAGACGCAATGCTTCCTCCTGTTCCACACCAACGGTTCCTCCTGTTCAGCGGCTGTACGTGAGTCGGGAAGTTGAGCATAAAGCGCCTGTACCATGTAGCCATCCCGAAAAATTTCCTTTCCCTATCCTCCCCGCTAATCACATGTCCAAGGCAGAGGTTGGCTGCCCTTAACCGACTGAATACCTCCCATAAATTCTCGTTGTTGTTATCGTGTCGCCCTTATCAATATCGTCTAGGTAGGCGAACGCATAATCATTTCCGGCCCTATTACCACTTAAAGGTCACACACGCCTTATCTAGTCCAAATGGCATCACCCGCCATTGGAATAAACCTCTCCCCGACACCGTCAATGCTGTGCATTTATAATATCGGTTGCCCTTAGTATCTGTTAATACTCGTGCTTCAAACGTAGGGTAGAGATTAATCGGACGGGATGCAACCGCGAATGGAGTGCGCATTGATTTGTCGGTCTCAAGTCTTTTTCGTGATTAAGACGATTGGGTCGCTGTGCGGACTACGCAATAGCTTGACTGCACCTGCCTGGTTCAGCTCATGTACCTGTTCTCATCTACCTATTCTGCTTCAAGGGCTTGTCATCTTTTAACCGGATCTTACGCTCCAGACCCTCGAAAGAGTGCCAGTTCCGACTCCAGGAACTCCCTCAGTCCTGGATGTAGATCCGCAGGCCACCCTGCCTTCTCTATTGAGGGATCACTCTGCGTATCATCTCCCCAGAACACACACACCGATCTCAGATGGAGGTCTAGAGCTTTCCGAGTTGCCTAGACGCCACTACATCCGATCTCTTGCGTCTGGTAGGATTCTAGCTGCTGCCCCTACTTCCCCCGTTTTCCGGCATATGTCCGCCATGCTAATTACATGATCAGCGCAGTGCTGTTGCTGCAGCTCTTCCCGTCGCTTTTTGGGATCCTCGTGAGTTCGGTCTGATTACGAGTATGACCCTTCCTTCACTTCTTTCTCGCTGTTCTCTCTGTTCCCTGACTTGGTAAGCTTTCTTTCGGCTCTTCGCTCATCCCAGGCCCCAAGGCTGATGCCAGCGTATCCAGGACCAGATTGGCGTTACCGCAACGCATTGTGGTGTCCATTGCATACAGAAAATCCATTCCTAAAATGACGTGATCTAGAATGGAGGGTATGGTGATGACTTGCACCGCTAGGCCTCCATCTGACCACAATGCCTTCCCTTCTTCCATCTGGATCCATCCGATAGATGAATATGCATCTGCACATGCTGCGTCTTCCCTGAATCGCCCACGTGCAAACGCAATCTTCGCTTGTGAAGCTGTGAGTGGTCCCGGTTACGATTGTCGCATTCCTTCCACGATGATTCGGCCACCGCCCACCTTCTATTAGCGGGTCGCGTCTTTCTCGACCCCATCCTGGTCTGGGCGGCTCCGTTGCACGTTTCCCGCATTCGCGAGTTGGCAACAATCCTGGTAATCTTGGCAGAAATAGATGCAGATGCAAACGGAGTTCCAAACTAAGACGCTTTTTTAAATTTAGTTTTAATTCAGCACGACAAATAAATATTGTTTTTTTTTTTTAAATATAATTAAAGGATTGCTTATTTAAATAGTGCTTTTACTTTGTGAGCGAGTTTAACAAAAAAATAACATAACTTTTATCACTTCAGCGGAAATATTTATCTCTTAGTCTTATTACAAAATATGCAAGCAATAGAGATTACACACATTCAACGGCTAATTTTAAATAATTTGATACAAGGATTACAAGGATTCAATGTTGAACATTATATTGCAGAATTCTACTTTTTTATCTTCATAAATATTTATTTATAAACATTGTAGCAATTTTAAGGATCATTTATATCCTTTATTGTCAGATCACTATTAATTCTTTTTGGTTTTGGCACAGGATTCCAATCTAAGTTTGATGAGGTTGGTGACGACTCTCGACATTCAAAGACTATCTTATTTATTTTATTTTTATGAAAATCACTTTGTTGTAAATGTAAATGGTTATCAAAGGAAGAATTGTCTATCGTAACATTATTTTTGTTGTGATCATCAGTTGGTGTTATGTTGCTTTTAGTATACAAAGAAGTTGAATATACCTTTGTACCTTTAGCAGCACTTTCTTTAAGTAATTGTTGGCTACGATTTATAGAATCAATTATTTCTTTCACAGATTTAGCCTTTTCAGTTTTTGATTTTTTGTCTGAACGGTGAACATCGCTCTCTGACTTTTCAAAAATAGTTAATGGTTTGTTGAAATATTCAGAACTTCTAACGATGTTATTATTTTTATAACTTTTATTTTCCAAACAACTGAAATTATTTTCATAACTTCGACTTGTCGCTTGCATTGAGCTACTGTTCGCGTCACAGGTTTTAGGATTTTCTATATTTGGTACAGCAATTTCTACAGAATTGTCTTCTTTCGCATGACAAATATTGTTTTCTATAGATATATTATTATTAGTATTTTCATCGATACTTAATACGCTTATATCCGCTGCGTCACAGGTTTTAGGATTTTCTATATTTGGTACAGCAATTTCTACAGAATTGTCTTCTTTCGCATGACAAATATTGTTTTCTATAGATATATTATTATTGGTATTTTCATCGATACTTAATACGCTTATATCCGCTGCGTCACAGGTTTTAGGACTTTCTATATTTGGTACAGCAATTTCTTCAGATATATTATTATTGGCATTTTCAGTGATACTTAATACGCTAATATCCGCAACGTCACAGGTTTTAAGATTTTTTTTATATGGTACAGTAATTTTTTCACAACTGTCTTCTTTCGCATGAAAAACTGTTTTCTCATTAGATGTATTATTATTGGCATTTTCAGTGATACTTAATACGCTAATATCCGCTGCGTCACTTTGTGCCGTTTCGGAGTCCAATAAAGATTTCGATGTAAGTGATTTATTTATCGAAGTCTCATCTCTGTGTACAAATCTCTCTATTTCACTTGTAAGTGACTTTATATCCATAGCTTCCATATTGGGACTATGAGGGGAGCCAATCGAGTTTTTTTCAGGATCGTTTAAAGGATCCGTGACCTAAAGAATGTATTGAATTAACAGTATACTTTTAAAATAGCATTCATATTGTACCATGTTTTTAGTCGGAACTGACGGGGCTTTCCTCTTTTTTTTTCGATAAGATTTTGGGCGAAGACCAACTGTAGAGCATCCACTATGATTAACATCAGACTCAACTTCACTTTCAAATGGATTAGTGCTCGATAGACTAGAGTACGAAGATCTATAAAGAAAAACAGGATGTAAGATATAAAATTATAAGCATTTAAAATTATATAGTCAATGTTAGTCCGACCAACATCAGCACTGTATAAACCCCAAAACATTTTTCTTGTCAAAATATCTACACCAAATTCGGAATTTATAAGACATGCAGCCTTGCGTATTGATAAATATTCACATTTAGATGTCGTAATTAAAACATGAATTTATTTTACGATTGGATTAATTTTAATTATTACCTGATTCTCTGGTAATGATGAGGCTGTGGCGTTGAGCATCTATCAAAATTAGTGCTACGTTGATAAGGGTTGCCGTTTACTTTGCTCGATGCCGCCTGATAAAAAACACAAAAACAACAAATTAAATAAGTATTCTACATAGGTACTTCTACGATTAATTAAAGATTTGCATGTTAGATACATTTGCATAACAGGTTGCACAGGGTATAGTTACTTACACTAAAAGGGACATTTAAATTCTGCATAGAATGTCTGCCTGCGATCTGTTCTCCTGGATGAAAATACGGCGTGTTTGGTCCAAAACTTCTCCGCAAGACAGGGGGACTTTCAGATGTTTTCTGAATACCCAAAGTCGATGATTTCTTTTTTAAGTTAAATGATCTAAAATTCCTACAAAAATAAAAGCAAACATCAAGTCATTAACCTTTTTTTTTTAAATATTTCTTATGTACAAGTTTTATTTAAATTTTTGCCCTACAAATTTGTAGAAAACGGTCTTTTACAACACTACGATCCGCTTGGGTTAAGTGTTGTATCAGAGTTAGAACATTTCTATATTTAGCTTTATTTTAACTTAGACATTAACTATAAGTGACCCATCGTTATCAGGCCGGCTGTTAGAGAGCTTAGCACCTGCAACCTCCATACTGAGTCTTGTTAATCATCTTCTAGGCGTATGGGCTTAAAAAGAGATCCTTCAAATCTGGTAACTTGTCTTGATTCTGCCGTATCTGTACGAACTATGCTTGATATTCAGCTGACTCGAATCTAGCAGACTCTCAGGATTATTGCTTACAGCTTCGAAACTGCGCGGTAGAGTATCGGCTTCCACTGTTTCTTCACTGTCTTTACGGAGCTCAACGTTAAAATTTTAGCCTTCCAGTTTCAATAACCAACGAGTTAGTTTCGCGCTTAGGTCCTTCATGAATATCAGCCATTTTAAGCATTTGAATGGCAAATTCGGTTTTTTATAGCCAGTTTCGACATCTCAAAATCCCGCATGAAGCACCGGTGCCAACTTGCTGTATCCAAAAAAAAGGCAGACTTCCTTGCGCGAACGAGGCACTGGGATTTGCCAGCCCACCTTAAATGACTTTGGAAATTCTGGGCAATTACCAAATGGTCGTCCAGATAAACAATCATATTGGACCGCAGTTCAGTGTGCATCACTTTGCCCATTAGGGGAATTAGTCGTTCTGCTGCGTTGCATAGCTCGAGTGGAATGCGTCGAAATTAATATAGGGGCCTACCTGGAACTATATGTGTGGCATAGGGCCTGATTTTGTCGTGAAGTTCGACTTGCCAATGCGTTAACTTTTGCGGTCTTCGCACTATCGTGCGGTCGCTACATGGGCTATTTCACTCTTCTATTCCATCTTCATTGTCCACTTCTTCTGCATCGCTGTCGATAACGGGTAGGATCTGTCTTCTGACCTTCTATCAAGTCGGTTGTATGTTTCTAATAATCCGTGGCTTCCAACCCGCTGTGCTCAAAAGACAAAAACTCCCGCTTCCCAAGACAACTCCCGGTATACTGTCTAAAGACAGATTTAAAACTTTATGTTTTTATTTAGCTCTCCATACTGGATTGGAAGTGCGACCCGACCGATAATCGATATATTTTCTCATCCAGCGGTTTGGACTATCTAAGTGAATATATGCACCGTTACCCCTAGTTCTTCGACCGATTATCGCCTTCCCTTTCCTTACTACGCCATTTCTCATACGTCGCCATAGGCTTCCTCCGGTTAGAAGTCATCAACTCTCCGCGGAAGAACGCGGCGGTGGCAGAGCTGACGCTCCATCAGCGTCTGAACCCCAATCGGACTAATTTTCCTTTCAAAAGAACCCTATTTAACTTTTACTAAGGCCTAGAATTCCTAATACAATCAAGGACAGATCTAATATTAGTAATTAATCAATTTATATCCACAGCTACATATACACGACTGATTTGTTGTGTTATTTTCTAACTTACCAGATGTCTCGCAAGTTTCCAATAGAGAAACTTCTTTGTTTCGAATTTTCATTGGATTTTGATAATCTCCAAAACCGTAAGCGCTTATGATTGTCTTCATCGTTAAATGGATTCAAATGTTCAGGATAGTTGTATACTGATGTTCTACTGGAAAACCTGTCAGAGCTTGTATCAATACCACGGTTTGAATGCATCATCTGGAATATAAATTATAAAGATATTATATATTGACTTCCAAATTGTATTTTATATTAGGCACACAATAAAAATTACTATTTTTAATTGTTTAATAATGTGAGAATAACTAGTAAGAGGTTCTAGTCGGGAATTCTCGACTAGGGGATACTCTGAACCTTCGTCTAGCATCTCGCGCCAAATGCTCATTTGCTTTAGAAAGCAATACAAATAAAAAAATAAAAAAAAGATGTTCCTCAATTGGACTCAGCTTTCGACATGGGAGTCCCTGGAAGAGCAATCTTTCCTGAATCCTGGTCGCGGGCGGAGCTAATCCCACATTTCGACCTTGTCGAAGGGAGGAGAATTATGAATTAATGAAAATGTTGTTAAAATGTTGTCTCAAAATTTGTAATTTGTTTCTATGCAAACTAGTCTCTAAGTTCTAAAGCTATCGCCATGAAACTTTACATACGTCCCTCTGTCTGTTGCCCGCAGGCTGGATAGGACCACTACATCATGTAGCTGCCACAGGAACAATATATTCAAATAAAAGTGACAGGCATGTTAAAATACTAACTAACATTATGCCAAAAATTTTAAGCCATATGGGAAATGTATTGTGTCTGTTATGTAAAGAAATACATGTTATCATACGAACTGCATTTTAAATCATGTTAATTATAAGTATATTGTAACAAAACTGTTAATGACTTCGAGCTCGTAATGGCAAATATTCATGTATTAAAATCAAGAAAAAAATAAAAGGAAAGGGCGGGGAATGTTACAAAAAAAAATGGAATACACTAATTTTCCACCTGACCTCCAATATCTTCGCAAACAGATAGTAAAATGAATAACAGATACATACATATGTTTGTATGTATGTGTACGGCAGGCTAGACACACATTCTGATCGTCATATTTATGCATGCTCATGTGTACTTACATATATATGTACATATGTATGTGTTCACAAACGGTAAGAAATGTTCCGGTAGCATATATATTCGACCTGTTACACATGTATTTATACACATTAGCTCATTGTTTTATCCCTTTTGATCCAGATCGTGAATGCAAGGCAATTATCACTGGGCATGGTTCGAATTGTATTTATTTGTAGAGATACGTATGTACATATGTATCTGTCTACATACAAAAATACAACAAATGACAAATTTGTATTTATATTGTGCAATGACGTAAAAGCATTTATATATATACATATGCTATGTGCATTTCTCTTTACAATACATTTGTGTATGTAGATTTGACGGAATAATGTTGTAATTTTAAAAACAGTTTTGTCTAAGTGTTGCAAGTTTTATTTTGTATAATTAAAATTACCAAGATAATCACTTAAGATTTCTTAAATAACCGACAAAGATGATCTCAACACGTTGAATTAAAGCTCTATAGTTAAAGCACCAAGCTAAAGTGGAACACTAAATAAACTTTTTTTGCAGAGCTCATATACAAGCAAGAAAGCTTTTTTGTTATAAAGAATCAACGAGGGCATATCGTAAAGTAGTTTAAGAACACTTTCTAAATTTATTTATATTTCTCTCGTTCTCTCTGAGCTTTTTAAAATATTATTATAAATATATATGTATGTAGATGTGTTGTAATGTATGTATGTATGTGCATAACGTATGTCAGTTTCTATTTGTAATTTGTAAGGTTATTACTTTAATAAGCCAATATCCTGCACCTATTAAACATCATTTAAAATCGGATGTATTAAATTGTGCAATAGTATAAAACAGCAGAAAGCGTCTTCAACCCCATAAAACATAAATGTATGTATGTACATATATATGTGTAAACTTACATGTACATTACCGTTTAACTGCATATGTGGCTCGATACTTAATCACATTGCAATGTCTTCAACCGGCTTATCGATTTTAACGAAATACATGTATGCACATATAAATATTTTATAAAACTATGAATGAAACCCGCAAGTTTTTCGTCTCAAAGATACGTATAATATATGTACATACATGTATGTATGTACTTATGTTTGTTTTGAATTCCTTACAGCCCAGAGACTCATGTATGTATGTGTGTTGTAGATGTATGTATGATGCTCGCACAAGTCGATCAATGCGTTTGTCGAGAGCCAGAGAAATTTTCTTCGAGTTTTATATTTCATTGAAAATGGGTAAAAATGGTATCTTTTTATGCAAATATATGTAACAGGCGGAAGGAGTATTAATATTATTGATCAGCATTAATAAATGAGTCTATGTAGCCTTGCCGTTTGTCTGTCCGTATTTATGAGCTTATGTTCGATAATCGATAAATTGCCCCGTTTTAAAGCATTCGATAAGAGTCGATTTAAATATTGTTTTTAGGAAATGTCTTAAGTTTTAAGAACTAGAGTCAATTTGAAGCTTCTTGAATTTTATAAATATATAATATCTTTAATTTTATAGCTATCGCACCCATTTTTTTATAATAATTAATAAATTGGTTGGAACCAAACTTTTTTTTTTATACTGCCTGCAGCAGCAGCTGGAATAACTGGTGTCTGAGATATTTGAAATTACGGTCTTAACCTTTAAGCACCTCGCAGTCGCATGGCAGATCACTGTTTAAAAAAGTTATCGAGCTATCATTATTTTTTTGAATAAAAATAACAAAATTAAAAATGTTCGTGGACGAAATGGTTTCTAGAATATTTTCAAGTATGTCATGCATGTATGTCAAGCAAACACAAAAAATATCCCCTTGTTTACGGCAATAGAGTAGAAAGAGAGTCATACAAATTCTTACCTTTTTCCTTTAAGCTGATCAGACAGCAAAGGCCAAAAAGGTCAGTTGACTAGGGTTAGGCGTCTTTGGGATTCCCGTTAGGCATCACTCTTCGCACTCTTCGTTTAATAGTTAATCATACTTTGGTTATTATGCTCCAATTGATGTTGCAGAGTCTACCTTGACCCTGGCGCTGACCATGTTACAGATGTCGTTGGTATTCCAAGGGCGTCTGGAGTAGGCTAGTCTCTTATTCTGATAATATAGCTGCTCAGGTAAGATTCCTTGGGGAATCTCTGCTCTGCGTCAAAATTTTGCTAGGAGCCTGCCACATAGCGTGAAAGCACTTCCTGTCATCATTCGAATAGTTGGCACATGGCCCATGAGTGGAAACCTTGACCCATTCTCAGCTCAGACCAGCGGGTTTCGAGCGGCGGGTACGAACGGAAGTGTCCGCCTCGCAAGCAATGGCCCATGCAGATGTCGCCTATCGAATGTGAGAGAGGCGTAGCGCCAGGTAGTGACCCAACGCGCTTGTTGCGGGAACCGGAACAGGAGTAGCGAGGATTGTTACCGGCGCGTCGAGGCGAGGAACGATGTTGCCCAACGGCGTCGGTCAGGCCAGGATCGGGTCGATACCGACACACACGCGTCCATGTAGCAGACGGTGGCCGAATCTTCATTACAGTGAAGATCGGCGGGCGGACGATGCCTACGACATTCGACATCGGGGCCACCCGCTTCATGAGCGAAGATTGCATGCGCAAGTGTGCGCTTCGGGGGAGAGAGCAGGATGTGCAGTCAAGCATTCATCTGACAGATGAATGCACGCTGGAAGTAGGGAAGGCCTTGTAGTCAGATGTTGGCCTAGTGGGCAAAGTGATCAGCATGCCGATGCTTATCATGGATATCACAATTTGTTGCGGCGACGCCGATCTGGTCCCAGAGACGCTGATGACATCAGCCTTTTGGCCTGGAATGAGCGAAGAGCCGAAGGAAAGCTTCCCACGTCAGGGAAATGGAGCTTTGCTCGGCAATCAAACGGAATGAAAAGGGAGAAGGAAGCGAAGGTCCATACTCGGAATCAGACCGAACCCACGAGTATCCTAGAAAGCGACGGGAGGAGTTGCAGCAACAGCACTACGCTGATCATGGAGTAGGCATGGCGGACATATGCCGGAATACGGAGGAAGCAGGGGCGATGGCTAGAATCCAACCAGCCGCAGCTTCCACAGTGAAGTAGCCTAGGCCCCTTGGAAAATCCTAGAGCTTCATGTGAGATCGGAGTGGTGTTCGGAGGAGATGAGACCAAGGGTGAGAGTATAAGATCCGGTTGAAAGTTGGAAGACATTTGAGGAACAGAAGGTGGCATTGCGTCAATTGCAGGAAATCTTGACGACAAACAACCTACAAAACGCAGCCACATGACAGTCATTAAGTGCCCGGATCTGTCGTCAGATCGTATCCCACTGGTAGTGTACTTCCTACGTTCCGCAATATCAAAGTACTGGATGGATTTGGACTTCCATTAAATGCTTGGTCTGTTGAGGTGCTTTGCCAATCACTTACCTCGAAACTATGCCAGGTTTTTTTTCCACGCGGTCCTTGATTTTGACTACTTTTGAGTAGACAAGCCATGATAAGCCATACTTTGCGGGAAGGCTCATGACCAAGTTTGTCATGAATTCCGTCAGGGTGGTGTCCTTGGACCAGTTCCATACAGTACCAGGACAATGCTAGCTACATATCCAGACGATAGTCCACTTCTGACATCAAGCAGCAGCCACTAACCAACGTGGCTCTTCGCTTTGGCGTGAGGTGCCCCGATTAACTGTCGAGAGCGCTATGGATTTGTGGAGCAAGACCTTGCCACTTGGGCTGGGCCCACTCGGTGGTCTGATTAGCTAGTCCATCTATGTCCACAATGAGCCACAGACTTTGTTGGGACATGTGACTGTGTGACTGACTCGATCCTCTCTCCGATCAATTGTAGTCGAACCGTAGCGTAGCATTTCACCGCATATCGCACTATTTTCGAGCTCTGAGAAACGGGTAGCACCTTCCCCTGCCGTCGGGAACAACCTGGGTATATATTGATACAGTAGCTTGGCATTGTTTGACTTTATTTACCAAAAAGATTAATAATACGTTATGGTGTTGAATGATGCCCTCCTCTCTTTTTGTTAGGAATAAACAAAAATAAAATAAAAATAGAAAAATACGGATTATTGTATTTAAAAGTTTACAAGAATTTTCTTGAAACATAATTTAAAATATTGTATACATTTTTAGTGAAATTAAGTCTTTATTAAGTGTCATAAAATTTAAATTAAGTTTATATCATCTAAAATATAAAATAAGTACATATGTTGATTGGAATAAACTATAGTAGTGTCCATGAAAATTATAGAAATGTATATTGTTGACTGAGAGAGTAAATAATATGAATCGTGTTGCGTAATTATGCTCCCTGTCAAATACAATGACAAAACTATTAACGAAAATGCTTAAAAGTAATTAAATAGTTACGTTTTGTTTTTGTTTTTTTTTTTGTTGTTGTTGTTATATTATTAATAGGGTTTCCAGCTTAATTCAAAATGGTTGAACGTAATGGTACAATTTTGGGATATTTTTATTAGAAGAATGGATGTCAGCACTTTAATAATACTTAGTAAACAATCTTTCAATTGAGAAAACTTTAACTGCAATGAATATGTTCACACATATGGCTATGTATTATTCAATTCTCTAATCGGTATAATGAATATTATTTGTAATACAGTGCGTTCTTTGAGATTCCTTCAAATCAGTTCAGTAAGCAATATAAAAAATTGTTTTTCTTTTAAATTATTGCACCTTTTTGTGTTAAAAGACTTCTATCCATTTATTCTAAGGTCCGTGGAATTACGCCCTATTGAGTACATATGTACATGCGTATTTAACACATCCTATAAATATCTAATGCGACCAAGATTCAAAATAAAATCTCAATTGAGGAATACATAATTATTTTTTTTTTTTTACACAAAGAATGTCTTAAAAATGTTTTTCCCCATATATGTATGTACATTGTTATTTTATATTTAATTAAATTATAAATCTGAACACGGTGTCATTAAAAATGAAATGCTAAACTAAGAACGTATTTAAAATGGATGCTATAGCTAATATTATGGTACAGTTTTATGTTTTTGAATATACCACGAGGTTTGCGACGTTTTTTTAATTTATATATTTATTTATATTTATATATAATATGTCAATTAAAGAGAAATACATTTCTTCCATGATTTAGATTTAGCAAATGATTTGTTTGTGATTATATTAAATATTGTGTTAATCATACCGACTTAATTTACAACACAAATAGGAAAACGAATATCAAGTATAGTTAAAAAATTATATACTTTTATATTATTCCTTGACGACAAAAACTAACATTGATTTAAAGACTATTACGAACTAAAACTATTTACCTTAACTTCCCCCATCACATGCAGCAGAGATGCAAAATGATAACTTACATAATCCCGATTTAAAAATATTATCTACGGTTCTTATACAATAAATACGTTTTCATAGACTGTGGAAGCTGAAGTTGTTGTATACGATCTTCCAAATTTACTCGACCAATTTTCTGTCGAATTGACCTTCGACAAAGATCCATTAATGGCAAAGGTTCGGCTGTAAAAATGAATACAAAGCGATCAAATTGTATATATATGTATATCAATACAAGCGAAAACCAGTGATTATATAGATAGGAAACAGAAATGAAATAAACAAGCGTTGATCTGCGACCAGCCATATAAAAACTTAATGTAACAGGATCTTAAGCAAACACAAAATTGACTGTTAATCGGGATACGATTATAATGGTTTTATGCAAATGAATGAAACAGGCAGAAGGAAGCATCTCCGGTTCCCTAAAGTACATCTGACTATTCATCCCTCCGTCCGTACGTATGTACTATATGCATATAGCTAGGGACAACTCTAAAAGACAAGAAATGCTTGTGATGGGTTCGGAGCTAGGCGCCGGGTTCAAGGAAACTACCAATTGACTTCTTTTAAATCAATTGTATTAAGAGCTTTTTGTGGATTCACTATCCGTCCGTCACCTCCTCTAAGATGTAAATATTTGAGAAAAAAAAGCTATGAACAAATTTTAACCAAAAAATTCAGTTATGTCATTTTTAAGCCGATTTTCACATCATGCTTAAAAAGTTCAGTAGAAACAAGTTTCTCATTAAAAATATTAATATTTTTGTATGTATAAGGACGGCCGTATATAATTTTGTTGTGCATATTTCTGTGAAAATGCCCACAAACATTTGATTATTTAAGAGAGAGAGAGAGATCTTTAGGATAATTATGCAGAATTATTCGATAAAAATGTCATGGTCATAGCTTGTGTGAGAGAATAATTATTTCTTCTTGAAAACATTAAATATGTTTTCTTCAAAATTGTGTTCTTTGAGCTCAGTCAATCTAACAATGTCCTTCTGGCTTGAATTTTGATATATTTTGTGACGGATAAGTAAATTACAGCAACCAGTTTTTCAATGTTTAAAATTGTGTGATCAATGTACAATAAGCTCATAGCCTTTGACTAAACGTAACATCTTTTCGTTTAAATATTGTACCCTGGTTATATCGGTATCAGGATTTATCAATATCCTTCTAATCAGAGTTCGAACATTATTCGAAAAATATTTTCAGGCAGTTTTGAAAAAACTCAAGATTTAGTAACAACATTGTTAATATGTTAGTCATTTAAATAAAGAAAAGGATTGCAATCTTTTTGATGCAAACAATGTTAAAATTAACAAAAATAAATAAACAATTGCTTTCAATAGCGAACAATTCAAATTCAAAATTACAACATGGACTTTCCAGGCTGACACTAATGAAAAACGTTTCATTTGAATGGCCAAATATTCGTTTCTTTATAACGAACTGCAAAAGGTCGAAATCGATTTCATCACAGCCGGGAAAGCAGATTCATGGTTCGATTGATTTAGGTTTTTGTTTGAGCATAACTATCCTAGTTTGAGGGACCATTTTCTTGGATTTTACAACAGGATAATGCCGAGTGTCATGGCTAGGCCACCCCACTCATTGATCGAATATGTAATGGAAAGCAGCTTCTTTTCTATCCCGCAAAATATACAACGCACGAAGGCAATGCGAAGGTAAGGAATCGTTAAAAGCGATAAAAAAAATTCTCGATTAATTCAAATGAATAGTGGTTAAAATAAAAATACACATAAATAGGCATTTAGTGAAATTGTACTTACGATCTAATCCACCGATATAACGCATCGTTATCTCGCAGTGACCCCATACAGCAGAAACTACGGGATACAGCTTCTTTCCTTTGAGGCCTTTAAATGCAATACCAAGATATTGCTGGTCAACAATAAAGCTTAAAGTACCCTCGTCCATATCTAAAGCAACCAAGAACTTGTCTGGAACCAAAAAAGCTTCATCATTCTTTAAAATTGCCGGATATGTGATACCAGCTGAATTTTTGGAGTCATGATACAATTTGTTTCTGCCCAAGTCCCAGCCCCAGCTTTGCTCAGTAGATCCCACCAAACTCTGGTAACCTACAGAGTGCAACGGAGCATCGGCTGATGCTACACCAACAACCGCATGGGTACCCCTTTGCCTTGTTGGCCAATAAATTTCCCATACATGTAATCCTTTTGTAAGACCAACTTTTCCGCGAATGCAGTCAGTACTTTGCGCAACAGGATGTCGGTGAAATGTCAATTTATCGTCTTCTTTAACAAATATGTTTAAAGATCTGTCTTCAGAGTTCCACGAATGCTTCAATTGAACCTCTCGGTTTGCAGGTGGCATATCCAGCAAAATATCGATCCGAGCAGGTTTAAGGAAATCGGCTTGCAATTCTCTTGGTATAATTGGTTTAAACGTTGCCTGAGAATCATTACGGTTAACTGTTTTAACGCCGCCACTAATTTTTTGACCCATGTTCATGCCACGGCAGCTTCGAGATCTCCTTTGGTCAATAGCAACTTTGTACGATAATCGAAGGCGTTCAAAATCTCTGGGTTCCAAACGAGATAACACAACCCGCGGGGAGAGTGTAGATGATGTTGAAAAACTTTGAGGACGTCGCCTATCACTTGACCTAACTGAAGGTGTCCGACCACCCTTATACCTGAAATGAGTCGAAAATACATGTTAACATTCACATACAACAAAAACAAAATTTACATACTAAAGAGGCAGAATACACAATATTTTACATATATACATATATGTACATACATGTATGTATGTATGTGCAAAACAACTATATTACTGCACTTAATCCATATGTATGTATGAACAAGTGTACATACGAAGTTGTATAAAAATATACACGGACATACATATACAAAACTGCATAATAAACATATTTGTATTTATATTTAAATTAAGTAATTGTAAGTGCAAGACGCAGCCATATGTACGTAATTATTAGAACATGATTTTTATACATACATCCCCTAGTGCTTAAAGTTGAAGCTACTGGCAAATTAATTGTAGTTATAAAGCCTAGTATATATAAATTTTTTTTTTCGAACGTGTGTTACCTTTTTTTCCCAAGTTCCATTTACAATAATTTTACTTTGTATTCCAAATATGTAAATACAAAATGGCGTCAGCTACGGGACTTCACTTATTTACGTTAGTTGTGTCACATACGATCCAGTGTTTTGTATGTATATATTTAAATCATTAATTATATACTTATGCGTGAATGATGATTTAAATATCAATTTTTATTGGTTTCTTAACTTCACCTTCTGTACTCAACCCCGCTTACCAAACTACCATACTAGTTGTCAAGGTTGCATATACACACATACACATGTACTTAATTTTGTATATGGTTATCACAGGGTGGTCCAAGTTACACGCCAAGTTCAAACCATTTAAAAAAATACTCTGTTAAAAAGGGCATATGTGCACGATATAAATACTCATGTGTACTTATGATTGATTTTGCACACCAAAATATTGTACAGCAGAAATAAAATAAGCAACATGCAACTTTTTTTTTGTGCAGTTAAAACTTTAAATTAATACTACTTAAACTATTAAAGCGATCAGAAAATCGAACTGCAAAATATTTGTTTTCACAAATCACAGGTATTTCTTTTATTCCTTCAGTTAATAGCTATA